TCATGCATGTGCTGAAAAGGTAGTGCACCCCAGTTCCACGGGAACAGAAGCTCCTGTGCATGGGACCCTTCCAACCCTAGCCTTACATATCTCTTCATCAGGCTGTTCATCAGTATCCTTTATTTTTTTTATTTTTTATTTTTTTGAGACAGTCTCACTCTGTCACCAGGCGCCAGGCGTGACCTCAGCTCACTGCAACCTCTGCCTCCCAGGTTCAAGCAAATCTCCTGCCTTAGCCTCCCAAGTAGCTGGGACTACAGGCATGCGCCATCATGCAAAGCTAATTTTTTTGTATTTTTAGTAGAGACAGGGTTTCACCATGTTGGCCAGGATGGTCTCGATCTCTTGACCTTGTGATCCGCCCATCTCGGCCTCCCAAAGTGCTGGGATTACAGGCTTGAGCCACCGTGCCCAGCCCACAAAGCCTTTTCTCTGAGACAGAGTCTTGCTCTATTACCCAGGTTGGAGCGCGGTGGCATGACCTCACTTCATTGCAACCTCCGCCTCCCAGGTTCAAGTGATTCTCCTGCCTCAACTTCCTGAGTAGCTGGGATTACAGGTGTATGCCACCACACCCGGCTAATTTTTGTATTTTTACTAGAGACAGGGTTATCCCATATTGGCCAGGCTGGTTTCAAACAGCTGGCCTCAAGTGATCTACCCACCTCGACCTCCCAAAGTGCTGGGATTACAGGTGTGAACCACCACACCTGGCCAAGTCTCAAAGTTTTCTGTGTTGATTACTATTGTGGTGTGAGAGAAGAAAAATGGGTTGGTTTCGTACACACTGACCCTGAGCACAGTACTGTGCCTGAATAGCCTCTGAAGACACCCAATAAACTAAGTATCTTTTTTTTTTTGAGACGGAGTTTCGCTCTTGTTACCCAGGCTGGAGTGCAATGGCACGATCTCAGTTCACCGCAACCTCCGCCTCCTGGGTTCAGGCAATTCTCCTGCCTCAGCCTCCTGAGTAGCTGGGATTACAGGCACGCGCCACCATGCCCAGCTAGTTTTTTGTATTTTAGTAGAGACGGGGTTTCACCATGTTGACCTGGATGGTCTCGATCTCTTGACCTCGTGATCCACCCGTCTCGCCCTCCCAAAGTGCTGGGATTACAGGCTTGAGCTACCGCGCCCGGCTTAAATTAAGTATCTTATTCCTAAGTTCCTATACTGAAATTCTGTTCCCTAGTGTGATGGCATTAGGATATGGGCCTTTGGAAGGTGATTAGGACATGAGAGTGGAGTGCTCAGGAATAGGATTAGTGCCTTATAAAAAGGATCCCAGAGAGCGATCAGCTCTCTTTCTACCACATATGGACATGGCATGAGGGCGGCTGCCTGCAGCCTGGAAGAGGGCCTCACCAGAGCCTCCTTGCACTGGCACCCTGCTCTCAGACTTCCAGCCTCCAGAAATGTTAGAAATTAATGCTTGCTGTGGCCAGACACGGTGGCTCATGCCTGTAATCCCAGCAATCCGGGAGGTGGGAGTGGGGGGCCTGCCTGAGCTCAGGAGTTTGAGACCAGCCTGGGCAACATGGCAAGACCTTATCTCTACAAAGTATTAAAAAATTGGCTGGGTGTGGCACCTCACACCTATAATCTCAGCACTTTGGGAGGCTGAGGCAGGCAGGCTGCTTCAACTCAGGAGTTGAAGACCAGTCTAGGGCAAATGGTGAAATACCGTCTCTACAGAAAAAGAGCCAGGTGTGGTAGCTCACACCTGTAGTCCCAGCTACTCAGAAGGCTGAGGTAGGAGGATGGCTTGAGCCCAGAAGGCAGAGGCTGAAGTGAGCCGAGATCGTGTCACTGCACTCCAACCTGGATGACAAAGCCAACTCCATCTCAAAATAAAAATAAAAACAAGGCCAGGCGTGGTGGCTCAAGCCTGTAATCCCAGCACTTTGGGAGGCTGAGGCGGGCGGATCACGAGGTCAAGAGATCGAGACCATCCTGGTCAACATGGTGAAACCCCGTCTCTACTAAAAACACAAAAATTATCTGGGCATGGTGGCGTGTGCCTGTAATCCCAGCTACTCAGGAGGCTGAGGCAGGAGAATTGCCTGAACCCAGGAGGCGGAGGTTGCGGTGAGCCGAGATCGCGCCATTGCACTCCAGCCTGGGTAACAAGAGTGAAACTCCGTCTCAAAAAAACAAACAAACAGGCCGGGCGCGGTGGCTCAAGCCTGTAATCCCAGCACTTTGGGAGGCCGAGGCAGGTGGATCACGAGGTCGAGAGATCGAGACCATCCTGGTGAACATGGTGAAACCCCGTCTCTACTAAAAATACAAAAAATTAGCTGGGCATGGTGGCACGTGCCTATAATCTCAGCTACTCAGGAGGCTGAGGCAGGAGAATTGCCTGAACCCAGGAGGCGGAGATTGCGGTGAGCCGAGATCGCGCCATTGCACTCCAGCCTGGGTAACGAGAGCGAAACTCCGTCTCAAAAACAAACAAACAAACAAAAAAATAAAAAATAAAAACATACAGCCACCTGTGGTGGCTTGTATCAGTAGCCCCAGCTACTTGGAAGGCTGAGGTAGGAGGAATGCTTGATCCCAGGAGGCTGAGGTTGCAGTCAGCTATGATCACGCCACCGCACTCCAGCCTGGACGACAGAGTGAGACCTTGTTGCAAAAACAAAACAAAAACAACAAAAAAGGCCCAATGCAGTGGCTCACACCTGTAATCCAAGCACTCTGTGGCCAAGGTGGGAGGATAGCTTGAGCTGATGAGATCAAGACTAGCCTGGGCAATGCAGTCAGACCCTGTCTCTTAAAAAGAAAAATTTAAAAAAAAAGTTTGCCCTTTTAGCCACACAGTCTATGGTATTTTGTTATAACAGACTGAATCAACCAACACAAGAATTCAGAAGAGTATGCAAAATAGAAGAGAGGCTGGATGCAGTGGCTCACGCTTATAATCCCAGCACTTTGGGAGGCTGAGGCAGGTGAATCACCTGAGGTAAGGAGTTTGAGACCAGCTGGGGCAATGTGGTGAAAACCCCGCCCCTACTAAAAATACAAAAATTAGCCGGATGAGGTGGTACATGTCTGTAATCTCAGCTATCCGGGAGTCTGAGGCAGGAGAATTGCTTGAACCCGGAAGGCAGAGGTTGCAGCGAGCTGATTCCACACCACTGTATGCCAGCATGGGCAACAGAGTGAGATTCCGTCTCAAAAACAAAACTAAACAAAACAAAGAAGACAGTTTAGTACAAAAAATGTGCTTAATAAATGTGACCAGGCTGGAGCAGCAGCAGAGACGCTAGGGCCACAGTTTGCACTGTCACACACCTCTCCTTCCTTCACTGAATACAACTGTCATGTTGGATAGGATAATTACAAAATGTCTTATTCAACAGAATTTCTAGGTACTTTTGACACGTTCTGTTGTTTATAACTATTAGCCGTGCTTAATATTATGTCATATGCATTTTTCTTTCTTATGGCTATCTCTAAATTTACTTATTTGTAGCTGCAGTGTATTCTATGAAATAAATGTGGTATAATTACTTAACCATGTGAATCATCCTGAACAGTAATTGTCGTCAAGGTAACATAGTCCTTGATTCTCTATCAATGGTCTGAATGTCTTTGAGAAAGGTAAAAAGTCTAAATGTCTTTCATGGCCTTCTTAATGCCATGAAATTACAGAGTATCTCCCCAGGGGGGAAAAAAAAAGACACTGATAAACATACACAGTAAGTGTATACACAATGATCCTTGGGAAATTATAAATGGAGTCAAAAATCAGCTGGACCTGCCCAGGCATGGTGGCTCACACCTGTAATCCCAGCACTTTGAGAGGCTCAGGCGGGTGGATCACCTGAGGCCAGGAGTTTGAGACCAGCCTGGCCAACATGAAGAAATCATGTGTCTACTAAAAATACAAAAATTAGCCGGGTGTGGTGGTAGAGGCCTTTAATTCCAGCTACTTGGGAGGCTGAGACGGGAGAATCCCTTGAACCCAGGAGGCAGAGGTTGCAGTGAGAAGAGAATGCGCCACTGCACTTCAGTCTGGGCAAGAAGAATGAAACGTTGTCTCAAAAAAAAAAAAAAAAAAAAAATCAGCTGGACCTGTAAGCACATGTCTATAGTCCCAGCTACTCAGGTGGGGAGGAGATCATCCCTTGAGCCCAGGGATTCAAGGTCACGGCGAGCTGTGATCACACCACTATACTCCAGCCTGGGGGACAAAGGGAGACCTCTTTTTTTAAAAAAAACCCCACAGGAACAGCTTGTGCACGGTGGCTGATGCCTGTAATCCTGGAACTTTGGGAAGCTGTGGCGGGCAGATTGCTTGAGCTCAGGAGTTCAAGATGAGCCTTGGCAACATAGTGAAACCTGTCTCTACAAAAAACACAAAAATTGGTCCCAGCTACTCGGGAAGCTAAGGTAGGAGGATCACTGCAGTGAACTGTGATTGTGTTGCACTCCAGCCTGGGAGGCAGGGTGAGACCCTGCCTCAAACAAACAAACAAACAATCCCACAAAACAAAATGAAAACCAACAACAACACAGAAAATAGGACTTCAGGCTAAGGATTCCAATTCTAGATCATTTAAAGCTGTGGTTCATTCTGTGGCAGGCCCTCCCGTTAAGGATAACAGTTCTAGACCATTTGAGGCTGTGGTTTACTTTGTGGAAGTCCTTCTAGTTAAGGATAACAGTTTTAGACCATTTGAGGTTGTGGTTCATTCTGTAAACTTGCGAACACCCACCCCAGTTACCTTCCTATGTACGTTGCTCCTGACGTACAGACATCCAGACTTAGCACATAACAGCAGCACTCACTGCACACTTACACTCCGGGGTGCTGGTCTGTGGGTTTTAGGCATGTTAATGCATTTCACCCTCCTCACAAGCCTATCTTCAGAAGGCTCAAAAAGCTAAGAGGCAGAAATAGGACTCAAATCTCGGTCACCTACATTTAATATTTGGTCTTAAGTCTTATAAACACGTATCATTTAATTTAAAAAAAAAAAAAGGAAACGTACCTGAACCCTTTACGATGTTTAACGATTTGTCTTCCTCCTCGCGGACGCTTTTTCTGAAGGATGCTGGCCTGGGGGAAACAGAATTTCGGGAGGACAAGCAACGTTAGAAAACACCTGGCATACCTAATGAAATCAATGAGAAATACGAGGCCCCGAGATGGGGTTTCTGAGATTCCTGAAGAGCACGCTGAGGTTAATGAGATGATGAAGTGTGGAGCTGTCCCTCTCCGGGTCTCCCACACCAGGGACCTGTCCGTCTGAGGAATTCTACTCCTGAGGCCACCATCTCCTGTCACTCAGGCGGCCTGCATGGACAGCACATCTGGCTCTGAAAGTGTCCCCTCATGGCTGTTTCTCCCTTCTAGGTGGTGAATTTCCCGGTGGGGCTCAGGTGCTCTCGTCTCTCTGCAGCCCTTGTTCTCAGGCAGGTACCGTTTGTTTAGAGGGTGAAGGCAGGGGCTGCAACAGCAACGCTGGAGCTACAGGTCACGCTGTCACACACTCCTGCGCCACCCAGAAGGCCGATCACCCTCACCCAGTCAGTACAAGCCTGCACTGCTCAGCCTCACCACAGCACACGCTGTCCCGAGACACATCTGTGTTCGTCACACCCACTAACGCCCAGCACAGCCATGCTGCCGGCCCCGCCACACCACACCGTGCAAAGGCGCATCCCTGGGACACGGAGACCATCCGGGCCGCCGCCCCCCACAGAGCCTCCAGAGTTCACCTGGCAGAGCAGAGTCCCAGGGACGCGCCAACGAGGTTCACAGGCGCACCCCAAAGCCTCTGGAGCACCCCCGGACCCCAGTTATGGGAAGAATCCGGCTGCGTTACCCCCAAACTCCCTCCAGCAAGTGCGTCACTGTCAGAAGCCTGGTGCCCGTCTCTCCCTTGGAGCCACACGCGCCAATCTCACCTGCACGGACTGGCGGAGAGGCAGCGGTTGCGTCACCAGTGCAGACGCGCACCCAGCACGGCCCCCACGGCCCCCACTGACGCTCGCGTGCACCCGTGTCACAGTTACGGGGACAGAGCCGCCGCGTCAGCCCCGCACTCCCACGCAAGTGCGTCACACACTGGGTCCCACCACCCCCCTGGAGGCCAGTGCGCATGCGCATGCGCACCCCGGACCCGGGAAGAGCCCGGCGCACCCAGCGGCCAGAGCGCGCAGGCAGCAGCAGAGCCCGACACGCATGTGCACACAGATCCTGACACACATGGACACAGACCCGACACGCATGTGTGCGTGCAATCGTATGTGTGGTCACCTAGACCTTGACACGCATGTACGGCCACACAGACCCCTACACACATGTGCGCCTGCACCCTTCCTACCCCTTCTTCCTTGGCCTCTCCCGAAGCCGCAGGCACACTCTGCGGTCCCCCAACCCTCATGCTCACGGCACCCCTGGATTCCTCCTGGGAAGGGAATGCCCCACTCAGGCCGAACCACACCGGGGCCTCCGGACCGTGTCCGGGGAAACCAGAGCCCCAAACCCCGTGTCCCAGCATGCAGCGCCTTAAACTCCTGGGGGAGGTGGGGCGGCTTCTGGGAAACGAAGTCCGGCATGGTCCCAGGCAGGGGTGGAGAGGGGCCGTGTCACCTGAGGAGGGTGATGCCGGGGAGCCACGGCTGTCCTCAGAAGGGTGTCCTCTCCCAGCCCCTCTGGGGCATCACCTGGATTTCTCTGCAGGCTGCCAGCACAGGCTGCCCTAAGCTGCTATTCGGTGTTCCTTGCTTATTGGACTGTAAACAATATGCAGGCAGCAATTATGCCCGGTTAGTCACGCTCTCAGTCTAAATACTGTCATAGGGTCTACAAAATGTTGCGAGTACTTAACGAGTCTCATTTTGACTCAAAATTCCACGTTTTGGAGTTTATCCCACAGAAATAGCTATAGTAGTACACAAATGTATGCTCAATATGTTCGGAGATCATCTTGTGTGTGTGTGAAAGCTTTTTTTTTTTTTTTTTAATTGATACAACTGTAGATTCTTAGGTAGTTGTACAAGTAAAACTGAGAGAGCCTATGTATGTTTCACCTGGTTACCCCAGCTGGTGATTGTAGTGTACAGTATAATATCACTGCCAGGACATCATCCATTGATGTTATCCAAATTTCAAGATATCTTTTTTTTTTTTTTTTTTTTTTTTTTTTGAGATGGAGTTTTGCTCTTGTTGCCCAGGCTGGAGTGCAATGGCATGATCTCAGCTCACGGCAACCTCCACCTCCCGGGTTCAAGCGATGTTCCTGCCTCAGACTGCTGAGTAGGTGGGGTTACAGGCATGTGCCACCATGCCCGGCTAATTTTGTATTTTTAGTAGAGATGGAGTTTCTCTATGTTGGGTCAGGCTGGTCTCAAACTCCTAACCTCAAGTGATCTGTCTGTCTCAACCTCCCAAAGTGCTGGGATTACAGGTGTGAGAGCCACCGTGCTTGGCCAAGACAGTAATTTTTAAAAATGTAAATCTTGAAGAAGATAGAGGAAAATATCACTGTAGAGGGCAGAATAAATTACAGTCTGCTATATAATGGCATAAAATACATTTACTAGGCTGGGCATGGTGGCTCATGCCTGTAATCCCAGCACTTTGGGAGGCTGAGATGGATGGATCACCTGATGTCAGGAGTTAGAGACCAGCCTGACCAACATGGTGACACCCCACCTCAAAAAAAATAAAAATAAAAATACATTTACTAATGGTGATACTGATTCACATAAATTGAAACAGCGTATCATGTATAACTAAGAGAGGAAGGTAGGTTTGAAAAGGTACATATAATTTGGGAGGAGACATTTTGGTGAGATTAAGAACACAGGCTCTGAGCTCTAACAGTTATTAACTGCTGGTTTCCTCACTAGTAAAACTGGAATAATACTATAAGGCACGACTGTCTCAAATATTTAGTATCAGAATATCTAATACATACAGTAATATATAAAGATTTTTTAAGTTTGTGGTTACTACTGAAAATCAGTAACATTACATTATCCTGAATCCAGTTTTAAAAAAGAAACTCATCTGCTATTTTTAATTTTTTTGAAACAGGGTCTCGCTTTGTCACCCAGGCTGGAGAGCAGTGGTGTGACCTCAACCTGTGTCTCCTAGGCTCAAGTCATCTTCCCAACTTAGTCTCTCAACAGCTGGAACTGCAGGTACACACCACCACGTCTGGCTAGTTTCTGTATTTTTTAATTTTTATTTTATAGAGATGGGGTCTCGATACAATGCCCAGGCTGGCCTTGAACTCCTGAGCTCAAGCAATCTGCCTCCTTGGCCTCCCAAAGCGCCGGCATTACAGGTGAGGGCCACTGCACCCAGCCTCCTGTTTTTTTCTTATACTAAAATATGTACTTGTCAAACCAGCTGTCTATATAGTGTATGCTAACTAAAAAGAACTTTCAGAGCCTGATGTTAAGAATGCAATTTGTTTTGTTTAAGCATGCTAGGTATAAAGATTCTGAGACACATAAAGAGGAAATGTTCCCTCTCACAAGCAAGTAGGGGAACAGAGAGATGATTCTGCATCAAAAACTGTGCTCAAATAATATAATCTTAGAAGACGTCAAACTGAGAACATTAGAAAGAGGATGAATCATGTGTTCTAGGACATTTATGTAAACCATTTTAATTGCCACTGTACTGAATTTCACTTATCTTGGATTTGTTATTTGTATAGTTGTTGTTTTTTATTTGTACATGTAATCATAGAAATGTTACTTTTACAAGCATATTTGTAAGGCAACAGGTGTCAGTGATTACTGTCATGGTCTTTGAAAGAACCATTAAAATCATAGAAAATCTAATCCTGAAAGGCTGTAGAGCCATCCTCAGTATCCAGATTTGTTCCAGAACCCACCTGGATATCAAAATCCTCGAATGCTTAAGACCCTTATCCAAAGTGGTGTAGTACTGGCGCAGAACCTATGCACATCCTCCTGTACACTTTAGATCACCTGTAGATTCTTCATGAATATTTAACATATGTGCTATGGCAATAATTTTCATACTGTGTTGTTTAGAATAATGAGAAGAAAAAAGTCTATACATGTTCAGTACAGATGCAAACATCCAAATTTTTTCCCAAAAATATTTTTGGTCTGTGGTTGAATCCACAGATGCAGAACTCATTCCAAGGGTGCACTCTATTTTTTAAGTAATTTATTGCTATGGGATTAGTTTCAGATGAGGTGTCTCTAATCCTATAAGGTGTAAATACATGAGCGGTTTCGCAAAACAAGACAAAGATCACTGGTACACTGCTCCCATCCCCATATGCTCACAGGTAAAATATGACCCATGGCTGGGCTGGATGCCTTTTACAGATGACCATTTGGAAAGTCTTTGATTAATTTACTTTATCAATTACAAGGATGTACTGCTCCAGAAACAAAAACACATACATGTTTAGAGGGAAAGTGGAAGACTAGAAACATATATACCAAAATATTATTAACAGTAATTATCTCTAGATGGGATTATGGGTAATTAATTTGAAGATTCTTCTTTATGAACTCCTTAGAGGACTGCATTTTTTTGCAGTTGGTCTGCATTAATCCCATTACATGAAATTTAAGTTAAGGGAGTTCTAATTTTAAAAAATGATTAATGGCCAGGTATGGGGCTCACGCCTATAATCCCAGCACTTTGGGAGGCCAAGGTAGGCAGATCACCTGAGGTCAGGAGTTCGAGACCAGACTGGTCAACATGGCAAAACCCCATCTCTACTAAAAAGACAAAAATTAGCTGGGCGTGGTGGTGGGGGCCTGTAATCCCAGCTACTTGGGAGGCTGAAACAGGAGAATATTGCTTGAACCCGGGAGGTGGAGGTTGCAATGAGCCAAGATCTGGCCACTGCACTCCAGCCTGGGTGACAGAGAGATTCCATCTCAAAAAAAAAGAAAAAGAAAAAAAAAAAAAAAAAAAGAAAGAAAAAATAGACTTAAAATAAAAAACTGTAAAGAGAAGCAAAGAATGTCATTATATAATAAAATCCATCAATCAAGATGATACACCAACATAGATATGTATGCATCCATAATTGGAGCGCTTAAATACAT